TATAACAAAAACACTCTTTTTCAGTACGAAAAGCATTTTAAACACCACGATTTTACAATAATTATATATATGATTAAGTTGACATTAACTAATTATTTAAATTAGACATAAACTTTGAAAAGGGCCTTATGACTTAAGTAAATAACTGCAGTATGTATTTTTATAGATACAAAGGACTTAAATAACTAGGGACCGCAAAAAATCACCAAAAACTATTGTTGATGCCAAAATAATTATGGTAACCTTAACTCAAGAAAAGCATAAATAATAAAAAATAACTATCTAAGAGTATTATTTAATTTAGATGAAAGTTTACTTTCATATAATAACTTTATTATTATAATTTAATATAAACAAACGGCTAATTGTAACTGTAAGAAAGCATTATTGTAACTAACTATCTAAGATATTAATTTAAGTTGATGGAAGGTTAACTTCATATATACCACTTTTTGTTAATTTAATTTATTAAAAAAAAGGGTTAAAAATAAGTGAAATTAAATGGGAGGCATAAAAATTTTTAAGATCCTGCAACATCGCAGAAAAAATTTCAGTTTTTTTTTTTTTTTTTTTTTTGTGTGTGTGTGAAAATGTCTATACATAAACTCGGACAAATAAGAATTGAAATGTGCCCCGATGGTGTTTATTACGCCATTTAGCACTGCCCCACAGTCGCTGTATTGTTTGCGTATGGTCCCCATTTCGGGGTCCACAAAATCTAGTTGTGGTTGACAGTAAAATGTCAATGCCGGCATATCGCAGTTCATCCAACTTATATGATTTCTAGCAGTCAGTATAAATAATGCTTCCTTCTGTGACATTTTCCTTTATGATGTTCGAACATCAGTGGCCGAGCGATAAAGTCGCTAACACTGAACACTGGTAGTTCGGTCTGAGGTTTGAATCCCGCAAACGGGCTGGCTGTATGGACAATTTAATGGTTTTCTCTATGTGTAACGTGTATACAAGCCAGTTTCCCTTAGAAAGTCCTCCATGTAGGCCTCTCTTCCCTTAGGGAGATAGCCCTCGAGGCTTTGCTCTAATCACATAAACCAAACCAAACCTTTTATGATGTTCCATAAGGTTTTCCACCGATCGATCTGGAAATAGCGACTAAAACATTCTTTTGATTCTCTGCACAATCCACCGAAAACCCATTGTGGCAGAAGAAGACGTCCAATGTTATTCTTGCTTCTTCTACTGAAAAGGCTTTTGTCTGCTTCATAATTTTTTCCACATCCGCCGAATTTCAACTTAGGCTGAGAAATTAGCTAATTAGCTAAAAAAATTAGCTATGGCACACACCTCACGCATATCTTACAGTCTACAGTTGTATTGTGGTTTCATCTTCAGTTGGAGTTACACAAAATTCAATAGATGTCATCTCTTGATACCAAAAATAGGTAAAGCCTGCCTATTTTTGGTATCAAGAGATATAATAAGGAAGGGGATTTTGTTCCTTCGATCCCAATACCTGACTTCTTAATCCTTTCTTCAGAATACAGGTTCATTCCTGCACCTCCATTTCGCTATTGAGTTACCGCTAAAGCATAATTTCATCTCGTGGTTTTTCGATCATAATATTCTATAATGAATGATGTCTTTTCTTTGGAAAAATTATATTGCAGACATTTTGTCATTGGGCAATTCCCAAATTGTTAGATCCATATCATTATCAAAAAAGAATAAAAAAATAAACCAGTATTCCAATGGCGACTTACAAATATTCCCCCCCCCCAACGGCGGGCCTTCAGCTTGGCCACAACTAAGGCCAGGTGGTGGTCACTTTATTATGGAGGCACTTAAACCAATAGGTGTGTGCGGAAAAATCTATGAAGGAACCGGCAGTTATAACCATGCCTTCTCCGGAATTCTAGGCCAGGCCTTGTGGTATCGCAGTTAGCTTCCCTAATCAATATATCGTGTGGGCGGTGACTCACGAATATAGAACTATTTAAATTTACGTGGAGTGAAATCGCCGCTTTCGCTAGATTTTGCACATATATTTTCGTTGCAATTTGCTACGGCCCCTATAATGGAATTATACCATAAAATAGTACTTTTATTTGAATTGTGATGTTTTATACGATAAATAACACCAAGATTGAAAAATTCTTAAGCATACAAGTCTTGCACAATGAAAATATTTAAATTACCTTTGCAAACCTAACTTAACATACTATGTCACTTTATGTTTCTCTTTATATAAGTAATGTACAATTTTCATTATTTATAATATAATAAATTATGTTGATTTAGGGCCACTTTAACCCTGCAAGAAATATAAATGCATACTTAAAACAAACAGTTTAGAAATTGTGATTTTAAACATAGCATTAAGAAAATATCATCCAAATATAAAAAAAGTTGCTTTTTACTGATTCTTGAATTTTTTTCAGTTTCGTTTCCTCATTTCTTTCAAGTGAATTTGAAGGAATGTTTTGTACATAATTGTTCAAACATATATTTAGAAATCCTGACGATACTCATGTTTATTATCTTGTACAGCAAATTACATTCACAGACAGCATCTTTTACTAATATGTACATACCATATTGCAAAAATAACTGAGGCAAAATAACTGAGATGAGCCTCAGTTATTTTTGTAAGAAGCTGATGGTGTAGATGAAATGCTTTTCGTACTTTTCAGATATAATAGTCTGGAAAAGTAAATATGCAACTGATATCAATGCCACCATATTTTCTGCTGGGTCTTTGAAACCTCCCAAATTTTACCAGTATCAATATATACAATTTGTTTCCACTAATGTTCCATTTTTTTTCCGCCAAGATGCAGAAATCTATGCAAGCACTTTAGTTAGTTTCAATATTACTTGCACAATAAACAGCAATTGTATGTGAAAACTTCTGCAACAGTGTCTGAAACTGCAACCAATTTCACTGACCATTGGAAATAATTTCATTGATTAATACTTTTATGAACTTCTGTACATCTGAAACTTCTGTAATAAACTGTTTTAGAGAGATGTATCGATAGGAATTAGAATGAAGCTGAAGAATAGACTTCAATTAAATTTTTTTCTTTTATATTCCAGGATTTGCTGTACTGAATATAGTAACTGCCTTCAGACATCTGATGAAAATCTGTATTCAAATTTGTGAGTTTGAAATTACACGTTAAAATTAATTTTGACCTAATTACTAAAGTTCTTGAATTCTATCGATGATAGCATATATAGTGTGAAAAAGAGCAAAAAATATTTCCTTGCATAAACATTTGAAATGACTTTTTTATTATCGTTGTTATTAATCTCCCTGACAACACCTACGCTAATTCAAATGAAACGCGAAACGCTGGCGAGAAATTACAATAGGTTTACCATCATTTGTTGGCGATAAAAAGAAACGGCGCATGCGCAGTTCGTTCAAAAGATTTTCTCATAGGGAGCCGTTCACAGCCATCCCTGTTTTGAGCCGCTAGTCATCATTCGTAGTCGAATAAACCGTATCGTACGACAGATGCGAGTAACGAACAAATGCGAGTAACGAAACGAATTTGTGAGTACCGAATCGGTACTTCGAGTCAACCGATGTACCCGTTACTCAGTAACGAATACATGCGGTTTGCTCCAGCTCTACTGTCTGGCGTTACTCGTAAGAAGCCATTTTACGGCCATTGTCTGTCTTCTGTCTGCGCAAGCAAAGATTTAATTGAGCAATTTGATAGTATCGTTGAAGATGGTAAAGTGCGATAAATTTGAAAGGGTCTTAAAGCCAGCTTTCGATCTTCGGCAGCTGCCGAGATGGGTGAATTTGAATGCTGCCCCTATGGACGGTCTGGATTATTTATACAGAGTGAGGCTAGAAGCGACAAAGTATCCGGAAGTTGCTGTATCAGATATGGACACCACTCAGTTCGCGCATCTTCAGAATTTTAAAGTAGAAAAATCGAATGAATTTATTATCGCAAAACCAGGATTTGCGCCGAATCATAAACTGCAGAAGGCGCAGCTGGATTTATTCCTACGTCAGAGAAGGCGTATATTGAAAAATCGAGCTTTGCTGAAAAGGAAATTTCCCCGAGGTGTCGTACCAAAGCCTCATAAGAAGGAAGCATGGAAAGAGTATTGCTTAGGACCGGAAAAGCTAGATGAAGATACCGATGTAGTTATACTACCAGAAAGTTCTGTCTGTGAACCGACGGCTGAAAACAAAGAATTTCATTTGAACCTCATCGGCAAGCCACCGTTGCTTAGTGTCGTAGTCCATTTAAACCAACGAGTTGTAATAAAACTGTTATCATATCACAAAGATTGGCTTGAAGAAGGTGCGTATACACACGATAATGGTGTTTGGCTTTATTCTCTTCTTGCATGTCTTGAGAAGCCTCTATATCCAGATACTCATGCTCTTCTGCGTTCTATATCGAGGCTTTGCTCTAGCTTCAGAGCAGAAATAACAGATCCAGAGAGTGATATATTAAAATCTTTGAATCTAATCATTTCGATCATAGCCTATTGCTTTGATCAAAAAGATATGTCAGATGACTTTGCTCTTTGACTTTTTCTAATAGCTGTCATTTCTTGGACATAATGTAACTAGGTTACATATGTTACAATCAACATAGTTATTGAGCAAAAAATTTTATAACTCATTATGCCATGCATAAGATTTCTTTCTCTTTTTTTCATTGTAATACCGCCACTTGGCTTTGTTTCTGTAATGTGTTAGCTTTTTATATTAAAAATTCTGTAATGTGTTAGCTTTTTATATTAAAAATTATGTAATGTGTTAGCTTTTTATATTAAAAAAATGACCTTTAAAAGTGTTATAGATGTATTAAGAACAGGGGGTGGGAAATCGGAATATTTTCACCCGAAGTGTAATGTATTTGTATCATGAGTTTAAATTACATGGCGCTAAATGCTGCAGATTAAGAACCGGGGGGGGGATCATAGAATATTTTCACAAAAAGTACAAGTATATCTTATGTTTTTTAGGTGTTTAATATATTTATATCAGCACCCATAACAAGAGGTACGGGATTCAGTTTGCAATGAAATGTGTGTTTATTATAAAACCGATATGAATCCAGTGTTGAATTTACAGTGTCTAAATTATTTTATATGTTGAAATCATTTATCAAAACTGGCTATTTGCTAATAGTTATTTACATGGGTTAATTTTTAAACTGTGCTTTTTGTCTAATTTGAAAGGTATTTTATGTTGCAGAAAACAGGGCATCTTATTTTTTGTTTTCTGTTCTGTGATGTATTATTTTTAAATACTGTATGAAATAAAGTCGCGAGAATCTTACATAGTTTTTAATTTGACAGCACTGCCTTGATAAAGCATCAGTATTGTATAGTGGCATTGACCCCTTTGTGTTTGTTGTAATCTTATTTTAAAGAACTACAGAGAATTCTTTCATAAACTTTTGCATTTTGTATTGTTTACATGCAGTTCATCTGGGTAAGTGAAAATATTATTTATATTATGTCAAAACAGTTCACTTACCTTCTTTGATATCGAAACATTTTGGGTAAAGTGCAGAATCGCCCACTTATTTGTTTGGCACTATTTAGATGAGTAAGAAGAATTGGATTTTTGTCAATTTTTTTCGATCTTTTTAAGTGAAAATAGGTCGATGTGTACATGGATAAAGTCAAAGGAGTAGGCAATGACATTTTTGTGCAATTCTGGGATGTTTTTTTAAGTGAAAATAGGTCGATGTGTACATAGATACCAAATATGTGCAATTCTTAAAAACGTGCCAAGCCCGTAGGTGATTCTGCACTTTCCCCAACATTTCACTTACCTTCTTTGATATCAAAACATTTTATATGAATGTTGAAATAATACATTTAGCTGGTGTCATAATCTTTCTTACTTACTTAATCTTACTTTGAGGTTTTTCTTTTATTACAAAAATGATATTATGATGCTGATAGCTTAAAAATTAAAACTTTGGGTTGATCTTTACATTATGGTAACTTGGCGTTTTTTTGGTGAAAATTTGGCGACCAACTCTCCTACAGCAACCCTCTTATTTTTTCCCCCCCGCCGCCATTTTGTCTTCATGAAGTAAAGACATGTTTCTTTTCTTTTTATCTACTGAACACTTCTTCCAACAATCTACTAGCCGAATTACACTCATGCTATAAATTTTTTTAACAAACTGCTTAATCATGACAATATTCACTGCAAAATTGGAAAAAGTGCACAATACCATACTCCTTACGCGTTTTTCAAAATAACACATACACATAACCATGTACCGCAGACTTATTTTACTTAAAAAACATCCCAGATTACACAAAAATGGCATTGCGCACACTCTTCACTATATCCATGTACACTGCTTTTTTTTTTTTCATAAATTAGAAAAATTTCACGAAAATACATACATTTTCTGAATCTTTAAACCTGGTAAAAAGAACATATATAAAATTACCTGATCGCGAAAAAGTTTATACCCTTTCCAAATATGAACATTTCCACATATAAAATAATAAATATCCAAAAACTTTACCTCTAAATCATCTTATATTATACACGTCACCAACGAATTCATACCGCAAGCATTACAAATACTTAGTGTCAAATATTTAAATTATTTCCATGCACGTTTACTCAACTTAAACATACCAAATTCCTACAAACATAAAATTCACAAAATAACTATCATTTAATTAAAATATCACTAAACCATGTACACGCAGACTTATTTTTACTTAAAAATCGTCCCTGACTTGCACAAAAATGGCATTGCGCACATCTTCATTAATATCCACGTACAGTGCTTTTTTCTAAAATTAGAAAATTTCACCAAATGCATAACAATTTTCTGATCTTTAAACCCGGTAAAAGAACGGTTGATCTTTACAATATGGTAACGGTAGTTTGGGACATTTGGAGCGATAAAGGTTACTACCTGGGACTTTGGTAATAATGTGAGCAGTACTCAGTTCCGATTACGCATTATTTTGTGTGAGGGAAATGAAGATCATGGGATATGTCAGTGAATTAAGGACGAATTACGGTTCTTTAATTGAAAGGGGGGAAATCGGGAAATTTTGTATTTGGCTTTATTCTGTGTTGTGTGAACGTGTTCGTTAATTTTTGGATCCATGCCGTAACTAAAGTGAATTCGAAATGGGTATTTATGTATATTAATTTAATGTATGTGCTCATTCATATTTTAAGTAGTGTTTTTGAATTTAATTATATTTACTTAAATGATAGTATTTTGTGAATTTTATGTTTGTAGGAATTTGGTATACGTTTGAGTTGAAGTAAACGTGCATGGAATTAATTAATATCTGACTAAGTATGTAATGGTTGCGGTATGAATTGTTGGTGATGTGTATAATGTAATAGATGATTAGAGGTAAAAGTTTTTGGATTTTTATATGTGGAAATGTTCATGTTTGGAAAGGTAATACTTTTCGCGATCAGGTTTTTTATGTTCTTTTTACCGGGTTTAAAGATTTAGAAAATGTCTGTATTTCGTGAAATTTTTCTTAATTTATGAGAAAAGCAGTGTACATGATATAGTGAAGAGTGGGTGGCAATGCATTTTTAAGCATTCTGGGATGTTTTTTAAGGTAAAAATAAGTCGGGGTGTACATGGTTTAGTGATATTTTTTATTAAATGAAATTATTTTATGAATTTTATGTTTGTAGGATTTGGTATACATTTAACTTGAGTAAACGTGCATGGAATAATTTAAATATTGATACTAAGTATTTTGTAATGCTTGCGGTATGAATTCGTTGGTGACGTTATAATGTAACATATGATTTAGAGGTAAAAGTTTGGATATTTTATTTATTTTATATGTGGAAATGTTCATATTTGGAAAGGGTAATACTTTTTCGTGATCAGGTAATTCATATATTTTTTTCACCGGTTTAAAGATTGAGAAAATTGTCATGTATTTTCGTAATTTTCGATTTATGAGAAAAAGCAGTGTACCTGGAATATTAAGAGTGTGAGCATGCCATTTTTGTGCAATCTGGGATGTTTTTTTAAGTAAAATAAGTCTGCTGTACATGTTTATGTGTATGTGTTATTTTGAAAACGCGTAGGAGTATGGTATTGTGCTTTTTTCCCATTTTTGCAGTGAATATTTGTCATGATAGCGTTGTTAATAAAATTTCTAGCATAAGTGTAAGTCGGCTAGTAATTGTGGAAGCGTTTCAGGAGATAAAAAGAAAGAACTTTTTACTCGTGAAGACAATGGGGGGAAAAAAAAATAAGGGTTGCTGTAGGAGTTGTCGCAAAAAACGCCAAGTACAGAATTAAAGATCACCAAAGAACATATATGAAATTACCTGATCCGAAAAAGTATATCCCTTTTCAATATGAACATTTCCCGTAAAAAATAAAATATCCAAAACTTTACGTCTAATTATCTTTATTTTTTAAATAACATTACAATGGTACAAATACTTAGTGTCAATAATTTAAATTATTTCCATCACGTTTAGTAAATACTTACTTCCACCTTCATTTAAAACACTGCATAAAATAATATCCTCAAATAATTAAATCCTAACTTACCTAATCTTCTTCAAATCTTGATACGTGTCCGATACTTTTCTATTTCTGTTTCACCATCTTTAAAAATCATACTTATAGTCACGGCCAAGGTACCAAGTAAAATAAATAACTTAATACAACATCTTTACTTCTATCTTGCACAACCTAAAGAACACTTATTACTACCCGTCAATCCCACTAAATACCCATCTTTCGAATTCAATTCACTTTAGTTAGGGCCAGGATCCAAAAATTAACGGACACCACTGTTTCACCACACAGAATAAAGCCAAATAAAAATTTCCTTTCCATTCCTTCCCGATTTCCCCCCTTTTTCCAATTAAAGAACCGTATTCGTCCATCATATCACATGACAAGCCCATGGACTCTCATATTCCGCTCACACAAAAAAATAATGCCGTAATCCGGAACTGAGTACTGCTCACATTATTACCAAAGTCCCAGGTAGTAACCTTTATCGCCTCCAAAATGTCGCCAAACTACCAGTTACCATATTCTAAAGATCAGCCAAACTTTGTTCCAATATTTGAAATAAAATGAAAAAAACTGCATTTAATTCTTTCATTAACAACTGTTATTCGAGAAATATGCCTGATATTTTGTTGGGTGAGAAGTTGCCTAAAGTAAGGGGCATGCCAAATTTCGTAAATTTGATTTTAGATAGTGAATTTTTATTTGATAATCTTATTTCCTGCCCCCCCCCCTTCATAATGATTTTATTCTGGAAACCTTACTTTTTTTTTAAATAACCAAAGTTAATGGAATTACTAACTATTCCTCTCATGTTTTCTGTTTCTTATTGCTATTTATTGATTTTAAAATTGCATAGTTTTAAGTAGCAAAAATAGAATTCTGATTTGATTTTCATATTGTTGGTGTGCATCATGGCAGAAAAGTATGATTTGTATGGCTTGGAATGAAAGGAGAAAATGCCTGTTGTGCTGAGTATTGAGGTGAAAGGTGCAAAAAAGATAATCCTCAAGAACAATTTTTGTCATATATAGGCCATGAAGAAGGATTATTGTCTGTCGGATAAATAAACTTTTTGAAAAGGTTAAGTATTCAATTTTTCAATATATCATACAGGAGGATGATAGCCATGATGAGGGTGAGGCCCTCAGGTGAAAGGCTAGAAAAAGTGAAAAATTAGCTGCAGAATTTTAGAAATACCTATAAAAAATAAATTATAATTATTAACTTTGTTTTCAAATGTATTGAGAAGCACCATTTTAAAATATTACATTTAAAGCAATAAAAAG